CGCTGGCGGAATTGACCATGATCTTCGAGCCGCGCGAACAATGCCTCTGCTGGCCCGCCCAATTGCTTCTTATCTGAAGGGAGGAAGTTGCCCGAGAAATCAAGCGGCAATCGAATAATTGGGCTGGTTCCACACATCGGTCGTCTATGGTCGCTGATCAGAGAGCTCCTCGAGTCGCGCTTGGTCGGGCGGAACTGAAGCGGGGTGGGATGCCGCTGTCCGTGGGAACCCGAGCTCGAGAGAAGCAGATGTGAGATCGGTTCAAAAAAGACGCTTGCGATCGCCTGAAGGTTGAGGTTGATCATGGGTTGTGCGATATTCAATCATTCTACGACTCGATCAAGTGGCCTCGTCAAGGCGGCGCTTGAGACGTCCTTCCCGCCTCGGATTCTGCATCCGGAGCTTCTCAAATGGGCATCAGCACAAATTTGAATCCACTGGGGGCCTCGTCGGCTCAGATTCAGCCGACGCGGGGCATGGTGCAAGGTTTGAGATCAGGCACTCGGCCCGGCAGAGGACTGACGTATTTTTCCTCCAGGACGTGGCGCCAGCTCGCCCGAGGCTCAGCCGTCGGGTGTCGATAGCATGTAGGCCGTCAAGAAAGGGCTTCGGAATTGCATCATCGGCGCGCGCGAAGCGTCGGCACGTCATAAGCTAAGCGCATCGCCCAATCCATTTCTGACATGCACCAACCTGGCCTACGCGAGATGGATAGGTAAAGCGGCGATGCGTGGCGGTGCCAGATCGCGCCGTAAGGCCAAGCCACATTTCCGAAATTTGTCTCGCGCGCAGGGAGACCCGCGCGCGCCGCGCGGCGCGAGCGGAGCCTCGAGCACCAAAGGGTGACAAGATTGGACGCTTCGCTCGAGCTGCCAAGCGCTACCGAGTAGCATCCAGGTCAGAGGTCCAAGGGGCGTGGGCGGCGGGTGTCCGCGGGTCCCGCGCCCGCGGCACTCGTGGACAGCGGCCGGTCCAGGCGCGACGCCGCCTCGGACGCGCGCACGCCGCTGCCGCCCGCAGGCGACGCGTCGCATCCCTCCTCGAGCTGCGCGTGCCCAACTTGGATCTTGGCATCCAGCTGCCGGCGCAGCGCCTGGACTTCTGGCTTCAGAAGTGGGGGGCCATCCAGGCGCACGGCGCGGGGTTTGGCGGACTTGGTTGCAGTTGACAGCTCAGACTCTCCACGCGCCTCCTGCGCGCGGGTCCAAACAGGTCCGCGGTCCAATGTCACCTGTCATCAAACGCCTGGTCCGGGCAGGAAGGGGGGTCGATGGGGCGACGGCGTGGGCCGTGACTGGGCCCCGCGCTGCAGCTGGCGATGAGTGGAGGTTCGACGACCGCGTGACCGCTGGCTCTCGCGCGCTTGATGGACATGGTGGGTTTCTTCGCGATTGTCGCATATTTTGTTGCGCGAGCCGCCAGCAGCCGCGCGAGGCGAGGCGACGCTGGGCGAGGCGAGCGCGGCCCCCCCAGGGGCGGGGCCCTTCTGGGCGCGCGCGCGGAGGCCGGAGCGCTCAGCGCACGTTGCCCGTGCTTCGCGGATGGATCTCCGCAGTTGCCCGCGTCGCGCCTTTGCGCGCGCGCCCATTCGCAGTCAATGTCGTCGCACGTGGCCCGCGTGAATCTCGGGGGGCCGACGGCCAGGGCAGCGCGGCAGAGGCTGGTGAATATTCGCTCCAGAGTCGAATTCAGGCGCTGGATGTCGTCGAAAGCCGGGAGCTGGAACTCTGGCGGCGGGGGCCCGATGTCGCTAGGTGGAGGCGCGTGGCGACATTAGGTCGGACATTTGAGTATGGGCCCGGGAGCTGGCTGGAGGTTAGTCTCTAGGGCGCGGATGGTCGTGAATGCAGGTCCGAAGGTGGAGGTCCACAACTGTGCGAGTGAAATGTCGGGTCTTTACCCGGATTGGCGTCGGCGTTGTTCGGCGGCGCGCGTGTCGACGAGGGGGCTGGAGGTGGGACTGCTGACCTGGTGGGGTCTGAAGGTCAACGAATGGAGGTGTCCGAAGAGTGCCAGGTGCTGGATGATGGAGGTCGGAACGCTGAGTTGGCGGAAATGGGAGGTCGATCGTCGGGGGTGGAAGTGGAGGAAGTCGGAGTGCCGAGCAGGCGGAGGCTGGGGGCCGGTACGTGGACGCAAAGTGATGGTGAGACGTCGAGCAATAGAAGCTGGAGATCAGGACGTTGAATTTGTGAAGAAGGATTCGGCGGGCAAAATGGAAGTGAGAAATCGCGCGCCGGATGCTGCGCGTCGGGCTGCTGAGCTGGTGGGATCTCAATGTCAATGAGCAAAGGTGGACTTGGGAATCAGATGCTGAATGCCGGGGGTCAGAATGCTGAGCTGGCGGAGGCTGGAGGTCGATAAGTGGAGGTCGATAAGTGGAGGCGTTGGACGCCAGGGGTCGGACTGCTCTGTTGGTGGAGGCTCGAGGTCAATAGATGCAGGTGAGTGTGGGAGTCAGACGCCGGGTGCTAGAGATCGGAGTGCTGAGCTGGCGGTGGCGCGAAATCGACTGGCGGAAGCGCTCGCGGGGAGTCGGGCGCTGGATGCTGGGGGGTCGGCGCGCTGAAGTTGCGGCGGCTGGGGGTTAATGAGTGGAGGCGGGCGTGGAAAGTCGGATGATGGATGCTGGAAGTCAGGGTCTGGGTGCTGAGCTGGTGGAGGCCAGAGGTCAATAGGTGGGGGGGGGGGTGAGGAGTCGGGCGATGGACGCTTAAGTTTGGAATGTAAAACTGGTGGGAGTTGGAGGTCGACTGGTGGAGGAGGAGAGTCGAGTGATGGGCGCTCGAGGTTGGACTGATGACTTGGCGGAGGCCGGAGGTCGATGGGCAGCGGTGGACATGGACAGTCGGAGGGAGATGGAAGCTGCAAGTGGAAGTCGGATGCTGCAGGCCGGAAGCCCGACGCAGGAGAGGCCGATGCCGGTCGTTCACGACCTGCGCAAAGTAGCGCGAACCCTCAATTCTGGCCGTCTGTGCCCTGGCGGTATGCGGCGCTCTGTATAAACCGGTCCTCTAACCCATGCCGGGTAAACATTCCGCGCGCCAGTGCAGTGCAAACCACAAGCCGCAACAAGTGTCGTCGGGTAGCTTCCTCTTTCGATCGTGCTCACTGCTTCCAAAAACTTCACAATCTCGTGGTCCCAACGATTCCGTTGCCCGCCGTGCTGTCGCTGTGCTGGTTTCTTGTCGTTTAATGGGGGTTGCCAAGCGACGGCGCGTCTCGCCCATCGGTCGGCGGGTCAATTCGCAACCTGGCTGGCCCATCTCCATGTCGTCTTAGAGCGATTCGAAGCCCAGTCGTCGACGCGCGCGCATTCGGCATGAACGCCGGCTGCGTGCGTCGCTTGTCGTAAAAAGTGCGCCCACGGCTCTCATGTGTCGTTGGTGTTGCCACTGTCGATGCTGCTGCTGCTGCTGCTTCTGTCGTCGTGGTCGTTGCTGTTGGCGCTGCCGTCGTTGTCGGAATCGTCGTCGTTAGTAGTCTTGTCTTCGTTGCCTGGATTGTTCTCGGCATGATCTCCGTCGGGCCCTGCGTGTCCTGCTCCGTCTTCCTCCTCCTGTTGGGGGCTGCTGGCTTGGAGGCGCTGCTAGCATTCAGGCAGTTTTGGCCAAGGCCAGCAAACATTACTGTGGAGCTGATTTTGACAAGGATCGGGTTGCGAATCGTTTCTCGTTGAAGCAACTACTGGAAGAGGTGCCATTGATGGAGCATCGTTTGTCGTCAGTCACGTTGAATGTTGCCATTGAAGGCGCGTGGCCGATAGCTGGCAAAAAAACTCTAGCTCTAGCAGACATGGACCATACAGTGTGGCCCAGAAGGGTGATATCCAGTGACTGGACGTCCGTGCCCGAGCCGCCGTGCACAGAAAAATGGGCTGTTGAAAGAACTCAAGAGGATTGGCATGTCGGATTCCTTGGAGAATGCTCTCGGGCGAGACCCCTCATTCTTTTCGCGGGCGCCTCCGGCGGGGAATACACCTCCAGCGCGATATTTCGTAGGAGAAGTCTCGGAGTGGCATGTTTTAGAGCTCTAGGGCCGTACGTCTTGAGGTTGCCACTGTTTATGTCTCACTGCGCGGCTGTAGCGCAATCGTGGTTTAGTAAAAAGTGGCTCACCCCTGAGGGTGAGGACAGTGACCTGTGGGCGTCCCTAGGTCAAGTATTTACGCAGCAAGATCGGGACCCCGAGCTGACCTCTGTCTTGTTCACACGCTCACATCAAGATGAGGTGGCCATTCCGAGACTGCTCGCCACGCCCGCCTGCCTGTCAGCATACGCCAGGCGGTACAAATTCACGGGAGTCGAATGTTCCTTGTGCGCATACGCCTGCTACGCTCATCTCTCGACGCGTTCGCTGCAAATGATACGGCTGTTGAAGAAAAAGGAACTGTCGTCCGCGGTCCGTCCTCCGTGTGCCGTTGCTCTTTCCGTCCTCGCTACCTCCCATTGTCTTGGGGAGAGTGGAGGTGTTGTCAGACATGTGATGGCTCGGCTTCTAGGGAGACTACCGTGGCTTGGCGAAACGCCCCATGCTTGAACCCCATCAGTTATAACGGCACTGTTTTCTACAAGCCACCCAAGCCCCTAGCTAAGTTACACATCGCTGTTGGGTGGGTTCATGATTCTCACGTCCTCCAACCAGTACCATAGTAAGCTACAGCTCTGCTACTGCATCGGATGTGGATGTTCTTGCGAGTTCCCCGTTAGTTATCCTCTGCCAAGTGTGCACCAAGGCAACACTCCCACCAGGGCTAAATACCTGGATCGGATATGCAATGGTTTGTGTGTGGCCCAAGGCTTCAAGCAGGACCGAAGAGATTGGCCGCTATGTGTAATCCATCCACGGTTGGTTGGCGCGCGCTGACTCCCTCACATGGTCATACTCCTCCTCCTCCTCCTCCTCCTCCTCCTCCTCCTCCTCCTTCCTCTTCCGCCTGGTAGCCTGCCAGCTGGGCCTGCCGATGTGGCACCCCGCCCCCCCCTCTCGAGCGAGTGCGCCTGCAGCAGCTCGCCGGCGGCGCGGAAGTGCCCGATGTTCGTCATGCAGGAGCCGATGAAAACCTCGTCGATCTTTTCCTGGGCCACCCTCCATCCCCCTTCGTCCTCCTCCACCTCCCTCGTCCTCCTCCCTCCCCCTCCTCCTCTGCCCCTTTGCCTCCTTTTCCTTACCGCCTCCTCGTCCTCCTCCCCTTCCTCCTCCTCTTCCGTCTCCTCTTCCTCCCTTTTCCTCCCTCTCCATCCTCCCCTTCCTCATCGTGGTCCTCGTCCAGCTTTTTGTTCTTCCTCCTCCTCATCCTCCTCGCCTTCCTCAGCCCTCCTCTGCCTTCCTCCTCCTCCTCCCTCCTCCTTCGTTGGGTTCCCGTCCCATGCGAGGGAGCATAGGTCAATAGCTTTGAACGCTCTGAGCCCCCATCGACCCTCTCAGGGACGAATGCAAAACTTGGCACTCCTCCCTGCGCTTTTCCCCCACCCACCCAGCTTTTCCCATCCGACCTGCCTGCCTCCCTGCCAGCCTCGCTGCCTGCCCGCCCTTCCGCCCCCCTGCCTCCAATTGTTTCCTCCTCCTCCTCCTCTTCCTCTTCGTCAGTATCCTCCTCCTCTTCCTCCTCCTCTTCCTCCTCCTCCTGCTCCTCCTCGTCCCCTCCTCCTCCTCCTCCTCCTCCTCCTCCTCCTTTCCTCCTCCTCGCTCGCTCGCTACCTAATGCCATCTGGGCTCGCTGCTGATCTGAACATCGATGATACAAGGGGGAAAACAAACGCGGGCAAACGGAGCAGTACAGAGGGAAGAACACTGACATCAGGGGTCGACTGCACAATGCCGCCACCGACAGTCTTGCTCCTCCAGTGGGTCACACTGGCCTCTCCTGGCCATCGCCAGAACGCGAACATCGGCGAGAGGCAAGGGGCACGGGCGCGCCTCCCTTGGGTGCTGCTCGGAGCGCCCAGTCTCGCAAACAATCGTCTCTCCCGTGTCCGAGGCGCAAATAGCATGGCCATCGCACAAGGAGGGGAAGGTGGAGAAGAAGCTAGATGAACCCCATCCAGGCAAACAAGCCCCCCCCCCCCGTCGGCCAGATCCGCGGGCTGTTCGAGTCCCGTGTTGGAAGGCCCGACGGGCGCAGGGAACCCCAACACACACAGACCTCTTTGAGCCAACCCATGTGCAACATAAGGATGCTCAACCTGACGCAGTCCATGTCACGATACACAACATGTTTTCCTAGAAGAGAAACAAGCCGCATAAACAGAAACTTTTGGCGATACGCGCGGATTTCTCGGATTCGCGCTGGACCCGCGCCAGGGGCGGCGCCGGAGGCGCCGCCGGGGGAGCCCAGGCGCGAATCCAAGAAATCCACGCGGAGCGCCAAACGTTTATGTTTATGTGTTTTTTCTTTGTCGATTTCCTTTGGCGAGGGGTCCCTGCGGCCCCACGGGGCCCCGTCGGGTCCTTAGGGCCCTCCCCGCAGACCCGTGGGCCGCACCCGCCACCCGGGGCTGGGCGGCCCACGGGTCTCGCGAGGCAGGCCCACCGGGCCAGGGGAACCCACCAGTCAAGACGCCCAAGATCCATTTGGCCACGCTTTCGGGTGAGCCAAAAGGGGGTCCAGCTGAAAGGGCGTGGTGCAATAGATTTGAGGCAGGTGGATTGCAAACGTACTGCGCTGGAAAGTTGTACTGCGCTGTGCTGCAAGTAGTGTACTGCGCGGGAAAATCCAGCCGTTTGCGCTCCAGAATGTATTGCACGCCCCAAATGTATTGCAACCCCACAAACCTATTGAACCAAATATATTGCACCACCCATTTGTCGCTGGACCCACATTTGGTTGGAGAATGAATGTTGTTGTATTCGGCGGTTGCTGCGGCTGTTTGTTTCTGTGGGCAGCCTGACCTCGGCGCGCATGTCGCGTTTGATGGGGCGACGCTAATCACTCGCGGCCGTACGCGATCAGATGATGTTATGCTCGATTTTTCTATTGTATTCATAGATTGCTTTGTTCTGCCCTGTTCTCGGCGGGCGGCGTGACATCGTGGTACCTGTCACATTTAAAACGTAGTTATGTCGGTCGTTGCTGCGCGGGCCTGCTCGTTCCTGTGGCCAACCACGCGTCGTTGCGGGCGTCGCGTTTGACAGGGCGCCGTCAACCCGAAACTGCTGCTGTCATGATCAGCGATGTTCTGCTCCAGTGAATTATATGTGGGGCACGTCCTGGCGTGCTCCCTTCCATCTTGCTGTAGTAATTATGGCATACGCAATGCTTATTCAGCCGGAACTGCTATGTCATGTTATGTTCTGATATAGTAGATAAAGCCAACATCGTTATGGGCTGCTGTAGTGATATAGTGGTTTGCTATAGTTGCTGCTGCCCTGATGAACTTCGAACAATTCTCCATTATTTTGGCCAAATCAAAAACGGTGTGGGCATTGGATAAGGAACCCTTGCATAAGGAATCCAGGGTCTGGAAGCCAGTGGAACTCCAATCGTGGATCGGGCATGGA